TAACCATCGTGGCCTCCTTGCCCTTGTCCTTGTCCTTGGCCTTGGCCTTGACGGTCGTCATAACCCTGGTCGTAGTACTGGTCATTTTGATAGTAACCGTCACCGGCTGCTCCTTGATTATTATTATGGCCGTAGCCGTCGTCGTAGTGGTTTCCGCCACCACCACCACCACCACCACCGGGGTAGCCCGACATGGTTGCTATAGCTTATAAAGAAGCACTGTCAATGCAGAATTAGTAGCTGTAGGGATGATAGTCGGCTCCATTGTCACCATGGGCTATACACATACCGTGCAGCTTGCATAGACCTATAATACAGAATTTCCGTGACCTTTGGCCAATTCTAATATGAAGTTTGATAATTATTCGGCCGATACGGTCGAGAAGGCGTCGAATGAAACTATTCGCCAACAACGAGACGGGCGGGTCGGTGTGAACTCGGCGTCGTAGTGCAAAACTCGGGGAGCGTATTGATCACAATTGGCGGAGTGACGTGTTCGGCTTTCAGCACGCTGTGTTGACACCAGATCGAGGCAGGAGATGATAAACGATAGTTTGGTCTGAACGAGTGATACGGCCCAAAATGAACCTGCCTTTCTGGCGGCAATGCTGTGTTGCGTGCAAAGCGGCTAATGCGTAAGGAGCGAAACAGAAGCAACAGATGGACAGAGAGACGGCGAAGAGAGCAGTAGCGAGTGGAAATGGCAACCCATCGACTCCCTGTGGTGCACTCTGGAAAAAAACGCGGTCCAGATCTTCAAGAACCCCAAGTGTGTTTGAGAAAAGGGCAAGAAAATACAGGAAAGAGTGGTATTCAAGGGAAGAGGTGGAGGTTGGACCATCTGGTAGGAGTACCTACTTAGTGGCTGAGGATGCGGCCCCTTTGTTGGTCGCCCCGTTTCGGTTCCTAGTGGGCGGGACCTTGAGTGAGAGAGAGTTACGTATGCTGTACCTTGCCGTTACATCTGCCCACCAGCATGCTAAATGGAGACAGCCACACAGAGACCCGGATTTGCTGCGGAAAAGATACATGGCCGAAGTACCTGGGACCAGCAGAAGGATTTTAAGGTGCACCACACCTGCTCCACACGCTCACTGAGACGCACCATCTCAAGTCGCGTCGCTGAGAGGCCAGAGGGTAGGGGATAGCACGGGGCTGGAGGCAAAAACGAATCTCAGGAGGGGAAGGGATCCTCCTATCCACCACCTTGCTGATGTACCGAAAACAAGGAAAAACCCAGCGCGCGTCCTCCCCAACTTGCCGCCCTACGTCACGGTGCTACCTCGCGAGAGCTTCGATTTCAACTTGATTTTCTCGTCGTCCTGCGGGAGCTGCCTTGACTGCCTGTGCATATTGACAGCCGCGGGAGGCGTCCAGGTCCATTCCATCCCGCCCTGTTCAGCTGTGCTTCAACCTGGGTGCTTGCACCGACCGATTGCAATGTCAGCTGGAGACCCATCTTGCCACAACTTAATTGGAGGCGAGTCGTGCCCCTGGCAGGAACAAGTGGAGATTATCCATCCTGGTCCATCCAACACAGCCGTGACACGATAACCACCGCTGGAGCCAGCCTCTCAGGCCGCCCAGTATATCGACCCGCCTGATTCATCAGCAAGTACTATCTACGTGTTAGGCTAGGCGACCCGATCAGAGGGCATCGACGATCATTTTCATCCCCGAATCACATCCAACTCGCATGTTGCGCGCGCAAGAGTAGCGCATCGTAGGCAAACAAGGCACTTCAAAACAGACATGTGCCGTTGCCGGGCAGGAGTGAGAGTTCTGAGACCTTTCGCTGAGGCCCCATATCGCTGAATACCCGCGCCCAAACAAAGACATGCATCTTTGCTTTGAAATGCAATGCTTCGCTGTGCCAGGGCATGTATGCACTCCCGGAGAACCCGGGTGGGCACAGGGGTGGGGACTATTTCACACTTGCTGCATTTCTCAGGGGAAACTGGGCCTGCCTCCTGAAGCCTTGCATCCACACGAAGACATCCATCCCACCGATCCGCGATTCGATCAGAGCGTTGTCAGATTCCCATGTTGCCATGCTACCGGCGTTCACGCACCTTCGCCCCTTCTCTTCAAGCTTACTGGACTGCCTTAAAATCTCCCGCGCAACCACTAGGAAGGGGTTGTTGGGTCGAGTACTTCTCGAATACTTGTGGTGTATACACTCTTGGTCCAACATCAGAGTGTCCAGCAAAAGATGATGGACGGATCGTGGGAGGTTCCGGGGGCAGTGCTCTCTAATCTTGATCTCTGACACGACCTCCCCTCCGTTCATCTCATCCGAAGCAGACTGTATTTTCCATAAAAAGCCGTCTGCATTGGGGAGCAGGTCCTGGCGTATCTCTCTCGGGCAGTAGTGGACCGCCGCCGCCGAGGCAAATTAGCTGTCATGCAACTGGACCATGGCAGAAGCCAGTATGGAATAGGTACAGTGTGACCCTAAACCTCCGAATGTTTTTACTGTGACGTATTTGACACCTGTCCTATCACAGGGAGCCAACCAACCCCTAGGGTTGGGAGGGTGGGCTCCTTTGGACCTATCAACATGAAGCTGCAGAATCAACTTCAGCGTATAGCGCCTGTTCACACTGTCTTTTCAGCTTCTATCACGAACACCTCGTATACGGTCTCCGGAGGCCTTATCACGAACACAACGACAGCATTTGGATGTCCAAGCCAGTTTTCGGAGATGGAGGGGGGCTTTCGCAGTACGAGATTGCCACATGTCGAATCTATCGCTCCCTAATTATAGATTCCCGGAGTGAAAGCCTCTTCTTCACGACGAATCTAATGAGATGCAAGCCAGTAGCTCCCACTTTCAAGCCACTATGATGAGCTCGATGCCACGCGGCGCGCCCTGTTGTGCGTAAACTCAATTCTAGTGGTCAAAGCTCGAAACGGGTCGCCGCTTTTGAGTTTGGTGCTGCGTTACTTATGTAACTTGTGCACGTTTGCATAATTCCGAGGTACGTGACCGGTACTTTCTACTACCCACTAAGAATTTAGGCCTCCCTTCGATAGTGCGACGTTGGTGGAGCGACCTTGCCCACTAATGATCATGTTAGGGTACGTGAGAGGAACACGACCTCATCCCAAGTCCATATCCTTCCACACTACGGAGTAGGTACCAGTGAATAAGTTGGATAACTCGTCGCGGCGTACTGCCTACAATAGTCTTGGTAACACCCATAGCCACACTGTTTTCAGTTACCCTCTAATTATCATGTCAATGCCAGACCTTCCGAACGTGACAACCTAGATCCCCCTTCAGTTGGAATTCTATGAACGCAACATCGAGAAACGAAGGAAAAGGTAAATATGTATGTAAGCAATTAAATCTTTCTATAGAATAAGACAGAGATTGTTTAGTCTTGTGTTGGGTATCTAGCTTCAAGAGCTAGATACCAGCTGAATCATCTGCCTGCCGGCTGAAATCTAGATACCGATATGCCTTCGCTGATATATAGAGGTTCTCCCAACCAACTTTAATTGTCAGAGCCCACTTGATAATATAAATTATTGTGCCGTTGTGTGTGAACAAACGTTGTGTGAAGCAGTGAAGCTGGGTTCCCACTACATTCTTAGATCAGTTTCTATGTCAGCAAATCTAGTTCGGTCTAAATTTGAATTGACTTTGATGATTTATTTTTGTGTCTCCTGGGTATTTGGGTTTCGGGTAGGACCCCCTTTTTTTTACGTTGAAAACCCAATTGCACCGTTTTCCACATGCAACTGATCTTGGATTTCCCATGTTCACAGCAAAAAGGGCAATGATTTCTCAGGAGCACTCTCTAGTCATTAATATAAGCTCTTGAATGGCAATTGTCTACGTCTAGGCCCTCTCACTACCTAAGTTATCAGGTTCTGCTTAATTACTACCGGCCAGACTGCCAGCCAGAAAGGCCTTGATACATTCTCTCGTAGAGGGGATGCGTATGGCTTCTCTCTCCTAAGCCCGGCCGTAACCTCCACCATGCCCTCTGCTTTGATGTCACCCTATATGAACAGTGCACTCCTCTCTAAGCTATGTTTAATCAGTCCTGAAAGAGTAGTGAGCGATGGTGTAGCCGGGAACCCCTGCTATGAGACAACGAGATAGTTTCTTCGTGTATGCTGACTTAATTCGTTTTGAGAGAGCCGTTTGTGAGTCAATTTGACATTGCAGCTAATCTCTTTCGCCAAAGTACACTTGTATCGACCGCTTTCTGCCATGAAGAAAGGAGGCGGGCCATGATCGAGAATTCGTTTACCGGAAAGTCTCGAATTTGCTGTTGAAGGCCTCATGTCAGCTCTCATTTTCTGGAGAGGTGCACCTAATGGCCTGCAATACCCGTGATTGGTTTGATGAACATTGAAACGAGTGTAGCCGGGGCAGACTTCTTACACTAGGTGTCTTTCTTTGAGACGCTGGCATGGCATCACGTATGACAAAACTTGTAAGGGTCACGCTTTAACCCCTTGAATCCAGATGGTCTTGATCAGGGAATGGGAGCAGGTCATATCTCAATGAGTGATGTTGGAGGAGGTTAAGGCAGCTTTACTTCAATGGGTCGTCGCACTGGGCTTCGGAAACCAAGTGTCGATGAGTAAAAGAGGTGCCTGTGCCAATACAGGCAGAGCTGGGTACTATATGGGAGAATGGAAATTAAAGCCGATGATTCTGCCCGTCCAAGTGTTTTTGAGTCACAGTGAAGTAGGCAATTAGGGCCATGCATCGCCATGATACACAGCTAAGACTGGCTTTCTGCTACCTTTGCGAAAACTACGTGTTGAGCTGCCACGCCGAAAGATGAAGCTTTAGCTGAAATTCTCCCTAACTTTACTAAGAGGATTGAAGGCGAGATCGTCTTCTGTGATAGTGATAACATCAAACTGATGGTATCTATCTGTAGGTTTTAACCTCCCAGACTTCTAAAAACAGACACAATTTACTAAGCACGCAATAGGGAGAAACACATCTGCCAGTATCATGTTCCCAAAGATAAATGGCCGAGGTGTGCATGGAGAACTACGATGCAGAATTCCGCACGACAGCCAAGGCTAGTGACATACTAGTAGCAAGTTTCAACTTGAGTTATGCAGGGCCTATCTCTTGTAATCTTGTTGTGGGAATTTATTACTAACCGAACCCAGGGATCCTCAAGAGAACAGGCTGCGACCTCCATCTTACTGAAACAAATTCCTCTTGTCGTGGCCGGCAGTTTCGGCAAAATCTTCAGCCGTAACAGCATCAACAATGCGCTCCTCGGTGTCGAGCTACCCGCAGTCATGACGGAGAAGGGTGGTTCCTCGTGGGAACAAAAAGTCGGTGAGATGCCTCCCATGCAAGAGATCATTGCCTACGGTGGACTCGAGGGCTGGTGAAGCCCAAGATCGCACCCGAAAAGTGACGTTGAGAGCTCTGGTTAGACGGATCTTGGTGGCATTTCTTGTTCAATTATTACCCCTGGCGTTTTCTTCTTCCTTTTCCTGGTTTTCTTGGAGGGAGGTTGGTGAAAAAGAGAGGCTGTGCTTCCCTGTCTCACAAACGTAGGTAGATACGCATTATAGACACTTCGTTGCAAATTTATGAGTTGTAGTCAGACGGCAATGTAACTACTCATCCAAGAGCAATTTCATCTTTTCATCTACCCCAGCCTGTTGCTGTGGCTCTGTCATAAATATACTAGGAATGATACTAATCAGTAAGAGAAGGTTGATAATTTATACTCTCTTAAGAAATTGCTCTAGCAGTAGCCACATTCTTACTGACTTTGTAGTCGCAATTTCCTCAATGCTCACAATGTAGCCTTAGATACCGGTATCTCATATACGATAGGCAACTTCAATTATTATCTTGCCTGTGGCTAGAGCCAACGCTTAACTCAGCCATACACGGATGGTGGTGATAGGTAGCGCGTCTATTGACACGTGAGCTGCTTTGTTTCCTGCAATTGCGAAATCTGGTTCTACTAACATGCGATAAACAGTTGCTCCAGCAATCAACCATCCAAAATATCCCTTTTCTCATGTCAATTAAGCAGGAAACTGGCCAAGCTAGTGATCGACGATCAACATGCACAACCTCACAACAAAGAAAAACTAACACATCAATGTAAAATACAGAACCACGGGACCACGCAACGTGCAGTGACAATAGGCCAATAAGTGCCTAGGTAATTTATAAAGTTCCCTTGTGTTCAGAAAAGGATAAGCGGCGCCGAAGCTCTCAATTGCGTGATGTTGATCATCGGTATAGGGTAGGCAATTTTGAAAGGGGGAGGGGCGGTTGCTGTGACAACACAAGGACAATGACAGCGCAATCCCAAAGAGGACTCGGTGAACCCTCAAACAACAAAGTGCATTGATATCTCCCTTTCCTACAGACCACAACCCTGTCTCAAATTCCACAAACATACCATACTGACTGATAATACTCGTTATAATATCCCTAGCACCTTCTTCTACCCTTCACAATGTCACATCTCGCCGACTGTCTATCAGACAGCGAAGGAGAGTTGCCAAGTCTGGATCTGCTCTCAAAGCGCAGTGCCTTATCGAACAGGAAAATGGTCTCAACGCGAGAATCATCACCCACCAAACCCCCGAGCAAGATGCTCATACCTAAGTCGGCCTCAAAGCCTCGCAGGGTCCGCCGTCTTGATGGCGGAGGCGGCCTTGCCGCCAATGTCCTGTTCCAGAAATGCGACCCAGAGCAGTTACTAAGCTCACCCAAGAAGTCTCCTATCAAGAAATCTCCTCCCAAGAAATCTCCCATCAAGAAGAAAGCTGGTTCCTTATTACAACCTTCAATCTTCGATGATGAGGATGTCTCTCCACCTGCTACTAGTCGAAGACTTCGCCTTCGAGCACCTAAGATCACTGCAGCCCGACAACAGGATTCTGATTCCGATGATGGTAATGATTCATCATTCAATGTGGACGATTATCTTGGACAAAGCCTCCTTGGAGGCAACCAAACTTTTGTTTCTCAGGGGTCTAGCTCTGGGTCTCCTGACGCCACTGCTTCTCCAGATCTCACCGTCGATGAAACGGCGGATGTAGACCAGGATCTTGTTGATGCGCAGCTTGCCCAAGAACTTTTCTCTGTCAGCGTCATTGAGCAGGAAAAGGACAATGAGGATGAGGGCGACAGCGTTGACCCTTTGGACGATGACCAATCAAGCGTGGATGAAACAATTACGGAAGCTGAATCCCCTTACAAGGAAACCTCAGAGTCAGAGTTTGATGCAAGCGACGACGAGGATGCCACAGTTTCAAACTTCACACAATCTCCCACACGCACCAAAAAGCAATCTTCGGGTGTGAAGATGAGCAAATGCCGGAATGTTGAGACATCGGTTCTTTCACCTAAGCAAGCGAACATTCTGGTTGTTCCTAGGCATGGACAGCAAGACATTGGACTTAAGAAAAACACCCAAGTACCAGTTGCTCCGAAAGAGCCTTTAGACCTTGCCAACGAGCTCGCAAAGTTGAATCTAGGCATGGCTGAAGGGTCCGACGAGGAGAACACGGCCCCCTCCAAGGATGCGCCAAGGACTCCCCCCGAGACGCCATCGAAGCCATCACGCACCAAAGGCCTGGTTTCTCCCACTAAGCGTGCGCCCATCCCCCAAACTCCGCATAGAGAGAGCACGGATGCTTTCTGGAATGCCGATGTTGTCAACAGCTGGAATGACCAGTATTCTCCCCGGAAACTTGACCTGGCTTTCCGGATTGCAAGCCCGGTCAAGGCAAGCCCTACGAAAAAGGAGAAGAAGACTTTCGACGAGGCGAAGCAAGCACTGGCGAACGCTTTCTTGAAAGAGCTGGACACCAAGATTACCGATGGAAAGATTGAAGAGCTTGCTGCATCTACCGGCGGTGTGAAGTTGGTTTGGTCCAAGACACTCAACACAACAGCCGGCCAGGCCAAATGGAAACGCGAGACCATCAAGACAAAGAAGGCGGATGGTACCGTATTAGATGTGATCTATAAGCATCACGCTGCCATCGAGCTGGCCGAGAAGGTGATTGACGATGAGGAAAAGCTTCTCAACACGCTAGCCCACGAGTTCTGCCACTTGGCCAACTTCATGGTGAATGGTATTACCAACAACCCCCACGGCAAGGAGTTCAAGGTCTGGGCTGCAAAGTGCTCTCGCGTATTTAGTGACAGGGGAATCAAGGTCACCACCAAGCACACCTACGAAATTGACTTCAAGTATATCTGGGAATGCTCTAGCTGCGCCGCAACGTACAAGCGTCACTCCAAGAGCATCAACCCCTCCAAGCACCGATGCGGGACTTGCAAGAGCGAGTTGAAGCAAATCAAGCCCGTTCCCCGAGCCACAAGCAAGCCGAGCGAGTACCAGAACTTTCTCAAGCTCAACATGAAGATTGTCAAGGAACAGAACCCCAATGTCCCTCAGAAGGAGATCATGAAAATGGTCGCCGAAATGTGGGCGCAAAAGTCTCGCAGCAAGCCAGACCAGCAGGAGGAGTGTAAAACAGTTGAGGATGAGACCATCGTGATGGAGGATACTCAGGTGATAGATTTAACTTTGTAGACCCGTGCGTCTTCACATCCAGTGCATTGTTGGGCGTTGGTTGGGGTAATCATTTAGACTGTATTTTGAGATAGCTCAGGATCATGTTGGTTAACATGATCCTCTCCGGCGCATCGGTTGTCTTTTTTAATCCTTTTAATTATCATTCAGAATTTCAAATCGGACTGTCAAATCGGACCAAGACAAATGATTGTAGTACTCTGATTCATTCATTCATTCGTCACTTCATTGATCGCACCATTCTTCTCTGAACTGGCACTTCAATTTGGCAGGCGCAAACACATGATTCCCTTTCACCACCGACTAGATACCTATGAGTGTCCAAACAGGCTCCAGTCCTTGATCTTGAAGCTCTGCCAAATGCGCGCCGAGTACTCGACGGCGTCTCCGATGAGCTTACCCTGCTTGCCTAGCTCGAGGTCGACGTCCTCCTCGTCGTATTCGCCCTTGATATGGGGCACGTTGATCGTGATGAGGATGTCCGTCTTCTGCTTCTCGAGGCGGAGGAGCGTCATGATGAGCGCGGTGAAGTCGGGAGCCGAGTCGCCCTCCTGGGACCTGCCGACTTTGGGCGTCTGGGTTGAGATGAGGGTATAGGCGGGGAAACCAGGCCTGGGAGAACAGAATCGTGTCAGTTAAAGGGGAAAAGAAAGACAATGAGACACAGCGCAAAAAGTAAAAGAGCTTAGATCAGAGGTTCACATACTCCAGGCGGGTGAACTCGGTCTCGGCCGTGTTCCAGATCTTGAGGGTATCCTTGTCCGAGCCGACGAGATCCTCGAGGTGCGCCGTCATGGCTCGGCCGTCGATCTCGGGTCCGGATCCAGGCTCGCCCACGCGCTCGGTGATGTCGAAGATGATGCTGGTGAAGCCCTCCTCGTCGATCCAGACCTCCTGGTTGTCCGGGACTTCTCGGATTTTGCTGCGCAGCCCGCTGTTAGTCCCAGCTCGCTGGAATTTGCGAAAGCGCAGGGATGCCTTACCTCACGTCTGCGAAGTGCTCGGGCAGGTCGGCGACGATTGCGCCACCGTACAGAGGGGTGCTTCTGAACTCGGCCATTTTTCACGATTAATGGTTGGTCTGTTGAGTGGGTTGCGCGATAGCTGAGCAAGCTTGTTCTGGCGTTGATTGAGGTCGCTCTCTCGAGGAAGGGGAAATAGGAGGGATTTAAATCGTTGGAGAAGGCAAACCGGATGTGGCGATTGCACTTTGGGGATATGGTTGTCGCAAAAGAGGTGCATGTAGCGCCGTAGACGATGAGTTGGCTGAGCCTCGTTGCGCCCGAGCTACTTGGTGGGATGTAATCATGTGGCGGGGTACGATGACGATAGTCCCCCGACGCCCAGCGCTCGCTCGACCAACGGCCAGCAATATTACTACCAACTTATGCATGCAAATATGCACAAGCGGAAGCAACCTGATGCACGCCACCTTTTGTGGGACATGGTGCGAGCAGGGTACGAGTAGGCTGCCATTTCAGCTGCTCGCGGGAAGAAGCAGAGACAGCTCGGCGAGATGTTTCTGTGAACACTGGCAAGAGGCAGATGGGAGGTGAGTAATGAGGTATAGTCATGTAGAGGCTCTAGATAAATATATTGATCCGCGAACTACTACTAGATCGATCGAGCTTGGTCAAGCTACACCTACGAATTACTCCTAGCTGTTGTGATACCTTAGAAGCGGCGTAGCGCATCCAGCCATTGCCTGGCATTGCATTTTCTTTTATCTCCTCCTCTTCAAGAATAGAAATAAAAAGAGACATTAATGACGACGTGTTACCCCACCTGGCATTCAGCCAAGGAAGTGAGAAAAAGAAAAAAAAGGAAGAAAAAAAAAAGTTGATGCACGAAGCAAAATCGAACACTGAGGCTTGCCTCGGCTCGTATGGTTCCAAAGATTAGGTGAATGGAGTCAATTGGGCCAATTCCACGGTCACATCTGGTAAAAGGCAAGAGGTGAGTTCGATGGAAGGTCCCACTCCTACTGAAACGACCTCTTTTTTTAACTTATATACCCCCATTCTTGTGGGCCGCCAATTCGGATGCCGTCAATGTTGTCTCACAGCCCCTCAGAACAGCGAGCGCCAGTCCCGCTTCTTGGAGACATTGCTGCATGTTAATACCTTACCTTTTCAGGCACCCAATATTTAATCCCTTCACCGTCTACGGATCTTCCTTTACCTTTTTTCTATTTCTTTCCCATCTGTCCTTGACACCAATCCATCTTTCAATTACAATTGATCCCATTGCGTCTTTCACCATGGCCGCTTGCATCTTCTGCCGTATCATCAAGGGTACTTCACATTCATATCTTTGACGGGCAAGAAATATGCCGTGCTGACTGGTCTACAGGAGAAATCCCATCCTTCAAGCTTTTCGAGAGCGACAAGACCTTTGCGTTCCTTGACATTGGTCCTCTTAGCAAGGGCCATGCGGTAGGTGTTGAAGCTATTCGGAGCTCCCGACTTGGCTGCTCTCGGCTGGGCCAATTGGCTGATGAAGCAACAGCTCGTCATCCCTAAGCACCACGGTGCTAAGCTGACCGATATTCCCGATGATTCTCTGACTGAGCTCTTGGTTAGTTCCCCGAGGTGGTCTGAATACACAGATAGCTAATTGGTATCCTCGGCAGCCCGTCCTTAAGAAGATTGCGAATGCCTCTGGCGCCGTTGACTACAACGTGCTTCAGAACAATGGCAGAATCGCTCACCAGGAGGTGGACCACGTAAGTCAATGAGACCTCCCTCACTCGCTCATTCCCGCTATGATTGTCCAGAAACTAATCGCGCCATAGGTCCACTTTCACTTGGTAAGACGGAGTGGCTACGCCCCGAGCTGTGTATGTGTGACAGGCTAACTCTGTGCGAATATCAGATCCCCAAGCCGAACGAGAGCGAGGGTCTGGGCATTGTCTGGAACTCCCAGCAACCTGACATGGACAAGCTCAAGATCCTTGCCGAGGAGATCAAGTCTAAGATTTAAGATGGAGACAAGTCTCTAGATCTATCTTGTTATTGTAGTCGGTGTGTGTAGCGGGTCGGTTGATGGCAGGTAGCATTGGTTTGGAGGCGTTTAAGAGTGAATGATATGAAGATTGACGATGCGAGTCCCTTTTTTTGTCCTCTATGTGCTTCTACCCAAAAATTAATTTTATCTAGTAGTTGCCCAACTTTAATCTACATCCTCCGCCGACGTCTCCTTTGCCTGGCTCTTTGGCGAGTAGAAGTCAACACTGCCTCCAGGTTTGATCACACCCGTTCTGTCATATAAAGAGCGCGCGCGCACGTAGGGGTCCAGAATCCAATAGCCCTCCCTGAGCTGTGTAGCCAACTGCTCCCTCTTAGACTTAAGAGCAGTGCCATCAGCGCCGTCGGGCTTCTTTATCCACTCGAGCGTTGTTGCCTCATACTTCTTGACAACGTCCTCTCTACTAGCCAGAAGCTTGTCCCTAGTAGCCGTGTCCTTCATCTTGTCGTTTTCTCCAGGAATGGACTCCTCGTACTTGTATTCCCAATCCTCGTCTCCTTCAAGCTCTTTCAGGATACGGCTGGGTTCGATGAACTTCTCAAGGTCATTCTTGTTATTAGTGAAGTGGACTTTGCCCGCAACAACGGGATCTAACCAGCCACGGATAATCTTCCAGATACCTATTAAAAGTTAGCTCATTATCCTGATTTTCTAGTATTTATAGCGTTACTTGCCCTGGAATACCCATGGTGAGTTGTGGACAAGCACGGCTCCCAAAGACTCTGGGTAATTTGCCTCGAAGCACTTGATCATGAACTTAACAGGGGTATAGTCCATGTTGGCCATGGAAAATCCAGTCATATCGAAAATGATGGTCTAGTCAGCATGTATTAGTCGCACAATCTCATATCAAGTTTCTTAGAACAGAGCCACTTACCGCGGTATCAACGGGGGGTGACAGAACCATGCGAGCAGTCTCGATGATGTAGACAGTGTACTTCTCCAGACTTTCCTCGCATTGTTCGCCTTGCTTGTGTAGACGAACCCTGACCACGCAGATAGGGCGCCCGTTCTTATCGATTCCGTGAAGGAAGCTCTTGCCCATGCGAATCTGGGCGAGAAAATCCGCACCGAGCTTCTTCTCCTCGCCCTCGCCACTTTCCTCGTTCAACTTGTTTCCAGCTTCGCCATTCTTCATAATATCGTCATCCACACGCATCTCGCTGTGTCGCCAGTTCATGGTAGACACCAACATGACTAGAGCCTTCTCAACATCCCACTTGCGGGCCCTCAGAAATCTCAAGAGAAGAGCGTCAGGATGGTCATGCTTTACCATGGACCAGATGGTGCTTCGAATCGTCTCTGGACTGTGGTTCGCAAGTGTTTCATAGAACTGCTTCGTCTGGCCATATTTGTCGTCATCACCGCCGTCCTTAGCGGCTGGCTCTGGGGCAGGGGAAGACGAGCCTGACTTGGACTCCTTGCCCTTACGGAACAGGCCAAACCGCCTCTTCTTTTCAGGTTCCGAAGCAGGGGCTGACTCTTCAGGAGCAGCGGCTTCAAGTGGAGCCGCACCACTACCCTCAGTCACACCGGTAAGTTGAAAGACAGCTGACCAGAGTTTGCGAAGCTTCTCTTCCTGTTCGGGGGTCAAGTTGCCAGGACGGCCTTCAAGGAGTTGGGGAGCCATTGTAGCCTTTGGAAGAAGAACCAACGGTTCCTCTGTGTCGTCCGAAGTGTGGTTTATTGGGATGAAAGTCGAAAGGACTATAGCAGTCGCTATGACCACAACAGTAGTAAGGATAGTAGATACACTAATTCCACTTTTCAGGTGCAACTTGTGATGTGAGATATCAAACTCGCTCCGATTATGGCGAGTATTGCCTGATAATTGGCGACGACCTTCAGAATTGAGGTTAAGAACTGAATATCTGGGGATCGTAGACTGTAATCTAGAACCCTGGCCTAGAGACAAACTAGTTGCACAGACGCCTACGTGTTGCGCAGATAGAAATCGCGGATGTGCCGGAATGAGCTGGGCAGCCCGCCGAGCTAATGGGAAATGATGCGAAAAGGGACGTCGAAGTGATCGCTGTATTTGAGACTTCATAGGCGACCGCTGCGCCACTCAGAGAAGGAGGGAGGCCGGGAGCTTATATCCCGCGGTTATAGGCGTTCCAAGTCGGGTGGCGCTCACCGCGATGGGTTCCAATCCTGATTGCTGATGCTTGCGACTCTGACACACCTCCCTGGGGGCTTGCGACTTGGGAGAGAAAGACAGCCGACACAAATTGAGGTTGCGATGGCAGATATTCTGTTGAGGTGGTGACCCACTAGTGTCTTGGAGGGGCAGGCGCAAGTCAAGCGTCAGGCGGATAGAGCCTCTCTGCAGTCTCCGATGTCACAGGATACTGATGTCTGATGACATACAGGATCGACAGAGGGCGGGCGAGGCTTTTCGCGTAAGGTCGGGGTTTAGGCTTAGGAGTGGTGACGAGCTGACAACGGCGCTGGGCCGTCTTTAATGAACGACGGGATGCGTGCTGTGTTGCCCCATTGGTCCTCGTTTAGTGGGTTAAAATTAGTACTTGGGCAGTACCTGGGCAATAAAGAGTCGCTGATGATGCACGAGAGGAAGCCATGCTATCAATTCAATGGAACGGGCGCCCTGAAATTCTCATGCGGTCCCTTTATTTTGTGGGAAGATGCCAACACTTCTGCATCGCACTGGCTCTGCTTAACTAGGTAGGTTTCGAGGTGCGTCTACGAAAGAGGGCACATAAGCATTCGCATCAAGGCGCAACTGCTCGGGGCCTAGCTCGAGGTTAGGGAAAGTAGCCAACAGGTAGAGCTGGTGGTAAGGTAGTTTTGCGATCGATAGTAGCAAGCACTGCCACGGTCGACTGGAAATTACTCGCCTGGTATGGTAGGTAATTTGGCCCAGGGCAGATAGGAATCGTAAATAATACACCCCCTGTCCAATGTTAACAGGGCCGGAACGTATCCTCGTTCCCGAGATGGCGACGGATGGCCTGTTTTTGTCCCATCCATCAACTCATCTTAAGATGCCGCGAAACAAGGATGGTGCTCCAGATCACTGAGCAGAGAACCCTGTATTCCATCCATTTTTCCTGATTCAGGCACAAAGGTTGGGGGTAGCTTGTTTTGTCGCTGTTAGTTGAGTGCGGGGTGTGATGCATTGGTGCCCTGCACTGACGGTACCGTATTTTGGTGGGGTTTTTACACTCTGCCCGTTGGAGAAGCGCGTCCGTGAATGCAGCAACAGCTTCTCCCGACCAGCTCGACCAGCTCCAATGCCACCAGCGCCCTGGAGCACCTTTTCAGGAATAGGATAAAGACTTCCTCACACTTGCTCCACGATGTCAACAAACTACCCCGAATCGGGCGACAAGCGCTCCAACTCTAGGAGCCGAAACTCGCGGCCTACGACGCCTCTCAGGCCCTCTTCCAGGTCTTCGTTTCGCGACTCTGCTCGAGGTGCAGGCGATGGCGACGCACCCTTCCCTTTAAATACGTTCGAACCGGCCTTTGCCGAACTTTCAGATGCCATGGCCGACCTCGAGGCGAATATGATGCACTTCCAGCTTATGCACGAAAGTTTAGCCCGCTTCAGCGAATCGTTTGCTAGCTTCATGTATGGTCTCAATATGAATGCATTTTGTGTTGATTTTCCAGAGGTTAGTAGCGACTGATCTATGAAGACACCCCAAAACCTCAAAACTCAGCATCTATCTATCCCATCTGTTAAAGGTGGTGCTAATGTCTCTGAAATATATAGGCCCCTGTTCCCGAATCCTTCGCCCGAGATAGATCACGAGACGATCAGGGTGGTACCGCACACTCTCGATCAGAAATTGATGGCGAAACTACATTCATGCAAGCCATGCCTGTATAAACGACCTGCTAGCTTGGACTAACTGTTGACTAGAACTACCGAGACATCGTTTGTTGACAACCCTCCAGCGTCGGAGAAGCCAGTAAAAAAGACCACAGGTGCAGCCGGTCGCCAATCGAGGCTGCCTTCTGCGCCAGGGCCATCCACAAGAGGGCGAGGGAATGCGCAAGGTCGTGGCCGTGGCCGTGCTAGTGGGCTGGTTCGGCCGCGGGCTCGTGGTTTAAGGTGAGGAATAAAGTCGATAAGCAGGAAAAGGACATTGAATCGTGAATCGTGCCAATCTCTATTGGCCATCTTTGCAGTTGACGTGTATCCCCATTAAGAAGTGTCTATTAATATCGATATTTCGAGGTTGGAGTTCAGGTAGCCATGTCAACATCGTCCTTGCCGGGGTCGTTTTCTCGTTTCCCATTATCTATCCTCGACCCAGCAGCAGCGAGGGCTTCTTTGTGATCATATGGACCCTCCTTGAGCTGCTTAACTCTGTGACATGTATTTGTTAGCGAAGCCGTCAGGATCGAAACGTCTTCGAGAATATTCACCTGCGCTTGTGGGGTTTCCCTCGGCGGTGTGCGACAAGACTCTTGTCGGTCTCATACCATTTCGCACACTCTACACAGTAGTGGCGACCCAGACCAGGCAGGTCCTCAGCTGCTTTGGTGTCCTTGTATTGCGACAAATGTTTGGCGGAGAGGAGATCATCTTTAATTTGATCCAAGCCTCTGAGAGTCCGCCGAGTCTTCGTGAGCGTTCTCTTGTTTCCCACACCCATTTTCTCAATCTTCCGATTTGTAGATGATGTCCGTAGCCGGCTGATTCCGCAATATCCGGGTTTAATAAGAAGAATACTGGTATCCTCCTGTTGATCGTTGTGGAGGAAGATGGGAATTTGTTCGGTTGAGAAAATTATTGTGGAGACCGCTAGAGTTTGAGACTCCAAGGTTATAGTGGGGTTGGATGCTCTGCAAGGAGCCACACAACAATCACCCACTTTGTCGATGATTGTAAGCTGGTTGTGCGTAGAAGTCAATTGAGTTTCGACAAGTTCATTCCTACAACATGTTATGAAGAATAACCTGGCCCCGGCCTTTCAACAATGCCTTTTATTATCTTCTATTTATTTTTATTTGGAATTATCTTTTGCGCCGCTGTCCTAGTTCAAGCATCATCCACTCATACACAGCCCATTGGACTGCGTTAACAACGAAAGCCCTGGCGCAACAGACAGAGAAGCCACGGAAGAAGAATCGAGTCCCTTGCTGTCTCCATCCCTCCTTGGCAACCTCCCAGGCTCCTGCGCGTTGACGTTCAGCGATAGATCCGATAAGGGGCCTTGATTCCGTGGTCGGCTCCCAAGCTTGAGTTTGCACCTTGGTCTTTATCACATCGAGCGGGAAAACACTTGCCCATGTTGCAACCCCAGCAAGCCCTCCACAGATCAGGATTTTGGGGGCTTCAGACTGGAGAGTTGAAGTCCCACCCTCTAGGGACGGCCACATGTTTGTGGCCAGTTCGTAGGACCAAAAGTAAAAACCGTAGCCGATACTGTCGCGCAATACAGTCACTAATCCGCCGAAATAGAACCCTCGTATGCCTTCTTCTCTCCATATACGGCGGGCGATGGCGCTGCTCGACAAGGCGTCATTCGATACCTGTGCACGGCATTTGATAACTTCTGTAGGGGTACTGACCACCCAGGTGGTGAGGCCACCAATAGCCCCCGCAAGCCAGGTTGTCAACAGGCTGCTCTGTACACCCAAAGCCTGGTTCAGGGCAGCTTCACTGCGATTGTAGGAGAGAAATAGGAGGGCGTTGAGGGCTCCGTATCCAAGAATTGGTGCCGCCGTCCCAGTTGTGAGGTTCTTGAATGTGCTTCCCGTAGCCGTGGATTCATTTCGGGCTTGCAGTCGGACTTTGATTAAATCAAGAGGGTTTCCAACAACGATCCCGACGGCACCACTGACGTACCCCGACCAGAAATCCGCGGACATACTATCTGAGTCGTCAATGGTAAATCGTGAGGTTTGGATATCGAGGGAGCGAGTTGTAACTACTTTTATAGATTGTTCTTCTCACGCCTGGGCCGATGGTTTCCAGTGAATATGGTAGTCGACGAAATGAGTAGCAAGATATGGTCTTTAGCTCTCTAGATAAGACCTCCCGCGATGAGGATCAAAGGCCAATGTCTCCGTGATAGCAAAACTAGACAATCCTGTCTAGTATTCTAAGTACCACTGTGTACTGAACCAATTGACCAGGCGCGAACTGTCGTGAGGCTATAGACAACCCTCTGTCGCCACATCTATAGTTTGAAGAGTCAAGTTCCCCTCCCATTTCGCTTGCTCGGTTGCCCAGAAGCGACCAGTTTCGAAGTGGGCAAGTGGGCGAGCGGGCGACATTAAATTTAAGACTAACTCAAAATTATACTGACTATTTTCTCGTCTGTCACCGGCATTAGTAATGATTGAGGGCAAAAATTAAAACCTAGGAGACAGCATACTAAACATTACTAATTTGTCTCATTTTATACTGTCGTAAAATTATCATCGTCGTAGAAAGCGGCCTGCTTAAAACCACTCTTCAACTCTGATGTCTCATTTTTTCTGTCACCCAGTAGGTGGGATAACTATTAACCTAGGCTGGTCTCCATACATGTGGGTGGGGGTTTAATGGTGGGGCTCGATCTTCTGTGGGGACGACTTCTGCCTGGAGGAGCGGATCAAGGGATAAGACTCAACTAATTCATCACGTGAGCGCGTGTCAAGGATCGACACGGTCAGTCGCGCCTACCACGCCTACATCTGAACAACCACTGTTTCTTCCCGAACCAAGTTCTGCATTATCATTTGGACTTGGCCTGCAGGAGACCATCGCCTTGAAACTTCAGCATGGCACTAAAGTGAGTCCTCTCCCTCGTTTTCCCCCTTTATGTCTTTATTTTGGTACTAACTTTGTCGCGTTTGGTAGACCTGAGGTCACCACGCCGCTGGCTGGTAAAAACAAACCTCCGGGACCGCGTATGGTTAGCACGCAGTCCATTGACAGACTCCATAAGCCGTTTAAATGTCCCAGTGCTGCACGAGCATCTCCGGTTGCCGACAGACCTGCTCGGAAGCGGCGGAAGGTTAATTACAAAGGCGCCGATGGCGATGCCGATGTTGACAAGCCATATACCAACGATGATAGGTTGGCTCTTGCAACCCGAGACGCAAACCGCTTCCCAGTTTTCCAACCCAAAAGCAAGGATTTTGTATTCCGAAAGGCCTTTTCCATACCACTAAAAGACAAGGAAAATGTACATCTTAGCTCAAATCGACCACCTCCCACTCTTGGGCTTAGACAGGGCGCTGTGTTCGTGGCAAAACCACTGCATGATCCAAGTGGCGAGTTTGCCATTGTGCTCTACGATCCGACCGTCGACGATAAACCGATATCACCCCCAAAAGAGGTGGAGCCCAAAAAGATTGAAGAGGAGAAGAAGCTCGATGCCCCATTAGTGCACAAGAGCTTGGCCGAGATATTGGGAATACGAAAGCAGGTGGATAAGGAGCACCCTAGGGTTCCCGTCGTTCTTGATCCAAAGCTAGCCAAGATTCTTCGTCCTCATCAGGTGGAGGGAGTGAAGTTCATGTACCAGTGTGTGACTGGTAAAGTGGATGAGAATGCCAATGGGTGCATTATGGCAGACGAGATGGGTCTCGGAAAGACATTGCAATGCATCACTCTCTTGTGGACATTGCTCAAACAATCACCGGAAGCCGGCAAGTCCACTGTTCAGAAAGCCATTGTGGTCTGCCCCGCAAGTCTGGTAAAGAATTGGGCAAACGAATTGACAAAGTGGTTGGGTGCTAATGCCATTACGCCCTTTGCAATCGACGGAAAAGCATCAAAAGAGGAGTTGACGAGACAGCTCCGGCAGTGGGCAATTGCGACTGGTCGCGCCGTCACGCGACCTGTGATCATTGTATCATACGAAACACTTCGGCTGAATGTGGAAGAGTTGAAGCACACCAAGATTGGGCTACTCTTCTGTGACGAAGGTCATCGATTAAAGAATGGAGACAGCAACACATTTTCGAGTCTGAATAGTCTCAATGTCACGCGGCGAGTTATCTTAACAGGAACTCCGATCCAAAATGACCTGACAGAGTATTTTTCTCTGATCAGCTTCGCCAATCCTGGACTTCTTGGTTCACGCCTCGAGTTTCGGAAGCGATTTGAATTGCCTATCTTGCGAGGGCGAGACGCAGATGCCTCTGAAGCCGATCGCAAGCGTGGTGATGCGTGTACTACAGAGCTCTTGAGCACTGTTAATAAGTTCCTGATCAGGCGGACGAATGACATTCTCTCGAAATACCTGCCTGTCAAGTATGAGCACGTTGTGTTCTGTGGCTTGGCACCGTTTCAGCTCGATCTATACAACTACTTTATTAAAAGTCCAGACATCCAAGCACTGCTGCGAGGCAAAGGTAGTCAGCCCCTCAAAGCCATCAATATTCTGAAGAAACTGTGCAATCATCCAGATTTGCTCAATCCTTCCGAGGATCTCCCAGGCTCAGAGAAATGCTTCCCGGACGATTATGTGCCGAAAGACGCTCGTGGTCGAGACCGAGAAGTAAAGTCCTGGTACTCGGGGAAGATGCAAGTTCTTGACAGGATGCTGGCTCGGATCCACCAGGATACTAACGACAAGATCGTTCTCATCAGCAATTATACTTCCACTCTGGATCTCTTTGAACGTTTGTGTCGGTGCCGAGGATATGGAAATCTTCGGCTTGACGGATCGATGAATGTGAACAAGCGACAAAAACTTGTGGATAAGTTCAATGATCCCGAAGGCTCCGAATTTGTCTTTCTTCTGAGTAGCAAGGCTGGTGGCTGTGGTATCAACCTCATTGGCGCAAACCGCCTTGTGCTGTTCGATCCTGATTGGAACCCTGCTGCTGATCAACAGGCTCTGGCCCGTGTTTGGCGTGATGGACAGAAGAAAGATTGCTTCG